TGATGTGGAAAATAAATTTAGTAAGTCCCTTGTGTGTTTATACAAGTACATGTACATAAATATATGTGGTGATATATGATTTATTAAAGCTTGCCTGAGCACTCAGAAAGCAAAGTCAGCCATAGCTATAGAGGTCAGACAATGGTAATATATAATATATACCTTTAATCCCAGAAGCCAGAAGCTAGGAGGTGGTGGTACACACCTTTAATCCCAGGACTCAGAATTAAGAGGTAGATGGATCTCTGTTAGTTCAAGGCCACAATGACTACACGAAATTGATCCAGTCCTGAAAGAAACAGCTCACACAAAAGTGATCTCAGCACCTGGGATCACATGCCTTTAATCCCACCACTAGGGAGGTAGAGACAGGAGTGACAATGGCTGGGCAGAGAAAGGAATAAATGGTAGGGGGAGACAGGAACTGAGAGCTTTTGCCTCTGAGGAATCATGGAGACAGGATTGCCATTTCAGCTGGATAGAGGTAAGATCTACTGGCTTGGCTGCTTTGCTTCTCTGATCTTCAGCTTGAAGCTTGAACCCCAATATCTGTCTGTGGATATTTTATTTTTCATACTACAAGTATACTAGGAAAAACAGAATACAAATGAAACATATCTAAAATCCATATTTCCATTAGATATAGCACTTGTCTTAAAATTTAAAGTATAGTCTAGTCTTTAGCTATTCATCATCAATATTTACCCATTAAATTATATAGTATTTATCTAGAAATATTACTGATTTCAATTTTAAAACATTGCTAGGTGTAAAAACAGTATTTCTATATCTTAAAAATCTTGTAAGAAAAATGTCCTCCCTCCCCTCACGCCTTATGTGGCAGGAGAGAGAGCTGGCCCTGGTGACACAAGCGTGGGAGAATTGTCCTTGTCCCTCACCAGCTACAGCACACAGGACAGCAGCAGGATGTTGTGGGATATTTGTACACTGTGTGAAGGTGTATTGCTATAATTGGTTTATTAAAAAGCTGGCAGCCAGGAGTTAGTGTTGCTTGCCTTTAATCCCACCACTTGGGAGGCAGAGGCAGGCCGATCTCTGTGAGTTTGAGGCCAGCCTGGTCTACAGAGAGTTGCAAGACAGGCTCCAAAGCAATACAGAGAAACCCTGTCTTGAAAAACCAAACAAAACAACAAACAAACAAACAAAGCTGAATGGCTAATAGCTAGGCAGGAGGTATACGCAGGACTTCCAGGAAGAGAATGGAAGATGAGGAATCCAGGTGTTCGGGAGACACAGGAAGGAGAAGGTACAAGATGAAGAGGCACATAACACCTTGTGATAGAACATAGATTAATATAAATAGGCTAATTTAAGTTATAAGAGCTACTTAGGAACAAGCTTGTGTGTGTGTGTGTGTGTGTGTGTGTGTGTGTGTGTGTGTGTGTGTGCATACAGAAAACACATATGCATCTATGTATATATCTGCATATACACATACCTTCTTTTTAGTTCTCTTCTTTTGGAGAATCCTAATACATATCTGCTCAGTTATCACCTAGTGGCAAAGTCATAATCTTACTACAAGAAAGGATGCAAACCTAAACTGACTATGATTTATAGGCACTGAGATAATCCAATCTGGAAAATCCAAACACAGAAGGATTTTCAAGAGACAGCTACAAGAACACAAAATGTTCATTTTAAATGGTAACACAATTTAAAGTCTACCACACATACAAACATTTTTACTTTTAAATATCACTTAGGTTATGATTTATTTCTTACATGCATATTCTCTTCAACTTAGTCTGTCTCTTATCTGTAATAAGGGACTCCCTGGAAACAGCATGGGGAGAATCAGCTATTTTACAGACACAAGGCAACCATGGCAATATTTACTAAATGGACCAAGAGCATCAGAAGGGAAGATATGCCACATCCACTTAAGTGAAGTTTCGATTTACCTTATAGTACAGTGAATCCTAAATTTTTTATATTGAAATACTAATCAAGTGGATCTTTCAAAGAGTTGAGAAATTAAGTGTTTAAAATAAAATTTGAAACTCCTGTTTTGTGAGGTTTACATGACATTTCTTCATGAGCAGTGCAAGTTTGGGGAGAGGGGTAAACAAAATAGCTTTCTACTTCTTAAAGTACATTTCTTGACCAAAATCACTGGGAGAAAAAATCAGCAGAAAAAAGTTAATTATTTCAAAGCTGCACAAAACTCAGGTCAACAGAAGTAAGATAAACACCTACTAACTCAAACTAAGTTTAATTTCTATATGAAGTACAGTAAAATTCACTGAAAGAGTACAACAAAACAATACAGACTGTTTAGAAGTTTCTTGAGTAAAATTCAGGAAAACTATTTAATTCCATTAAAATTGTACTTAGGATTAACTGCATTTTTCACAGTAAATTACTGCAAAATGAATTAGCTTAACTAGATCACAAAAGTATCATTTATACCTGTCAGATGCTTGAATTAAAGGAGCAGCAGTGTTACATAAGACCTTGTCACACTTGAATGGCTAATTCTGAATATATAATCTTCTTTACTTGTTTCATACTCTGTATGTAGTTTCATACTCTGTATGAATTCATTTAGAAAGTACACAATATGAAATGTAAATAAAATTCACCAAATATTCTTCTACTAGAAGCAAGCAAAATATAGGGGAAAATGTTCCTTGACTTTTACTTGAGCATAATTATTTATGCTCAATCTAAAAGCATGTTTCTTAGCAATTGAATATAAATTTGTTAGCTTTACCCATAATATTCTTATACAACTGAGGTGAAATGTTAAAACAATAGTCAGCAGACAATATTCTAGAATGGTATTTTGCTAAAAATTGTTGAAAGGCAATAGATATTAATTATTGCCTTAAGTCATTCCCACAGTGGTGCTCCAAATGGCTTACACTAGCATTTTAGGATATCAACATAGAACTCTAAAACTAACACAAGCACCAAAAAAATTACTCATGAATCTCTGAAATTTCAGGTTTCTAATCAAAATTGAGAGACCTTTAAAACTGGGACTAGAAATAATAAATTATACAAATGCACCCTCTAGTGGCAAGCAAAGCAATTCACATATAAGACAAAATTTAAATTATGAATATTTCAATATTTAACAAAAATGTTTCTAAAAGTAGAAATGAGTGTTCTACCTATAACTTTAACTTAGTCCCAGATATACTCAATAACATAACCCATTTCAAAAATCATCTGACCTCCATATTGAAAATAAACTTACCATATAAAATACATGTATGTTCAACATAAGTAAATAAATACCCAAGTGTTGTGATGATGTCTTTCCTGTGTGTTTTTTCCTATTAGATTTTTATTGTTTGAGCTTCTATTCCTAGTAAAAAGCATTCATCTTTAGCTTAGGAAAAAATTGAATACAAATGAAATGTGTCTAAAAGCCATATTTTCATTAGATAACAGCACTTGTCTTAAAATTTGAAGTATAGTCTAGTCTTTAGCTATTTTCAGTATTTTCCCATTAAACTATATGGTATTTATCTAGAAATATTACTGCTTTCAAATTTAAAACATTGTTGGGTATAAAAACACTATTTCTATACCTTAAAAATCTTGTAAGAAAAATGTCCTCCCTCCACTCACGCCTTATGTGGCAGGAGAGAGAGCTGGCCCTGGTGCCACAAGCGTGGGAGAATTGTCCTTGTCCCTCACCAGCTGCAGCACACAGGACAGCAGCAGGATGTTGTGGGATATTTGTACACTGTGTGAAAGTGTATTGCTGTAATTGGTTTATTAAAAAGCTGAATGGCCAAATAACTAAGCAGGATTTCCAGGAAGAGGAGGAGGAATCCAGGAGTTCAGGAGAAGTCAGGAGACACTTCAAGGAAATAGGAGGGACAAGAAGACAGAGGTAACACCATGTGATAGAATGTAGATCAATATAAATAGGCCAATTTAAGTTATAAGATCTAGTTAGGAACAAGCTTAAGCTACAGGCTGAACTTTCATAATTAACAGTAAGTCTCCTTATCTCTATTTGTGAGATGGCAGCCCAAAGAAAAGCACTGCTACAAGACACCTTGCCTGGACAGCATACCAGAACTGACCCTGTGGGCAGGCATAGGTGAGCCTGGTCTGTGGGAGTAAGAGCAGTAGAGCTGCCCTCCCCTCAACTCCTTGTCACCTGCAACAAGAGGGAGAGCCCACCTGTAGGCATGAGAATGGAAGAGCTGGCCCCGCCCCTCACCAACTGTAGCAATCCAGAGTGGGCCCTGTAACTCTCCTGGACAAAAACAAGGACAACAACAACAAAAAAAGCAGCAGAGCTGGCCCTGAAGGTGTGAGTAGAGGTGGGCTGGACCAGAGAGAGAGTGTCTGAACAGCATCAGTGACTGGTTCCTTGCTGTCTGCTACAGTTCTCCTGCATGGTGACAATGAGGGAAAGAGGGCATGCTGAGCTAGCCAGTGACCACCCAGGCCCAAAACCAGTACTACAAGGTAGCCTACCCCAAGACCCACTTAAGCTATGAACTCCTGTAGCATGTGAGGGGGCAAGACCTGCAGATTCAAAACTACAGGATCTCCAGGACACAAGGAAACAAAAAGATATCCAAGAGGAATCCCAGTGAGGATCCAGTATCCATAGTGTAGCAGAAGCCAGAGGCCTCAAACCAGACCAATGACTCATTACAATGCAAGTAAAGATGTATGGACTACAGGTTTACTGTGTGACTCAATGGTTCACACTACAGCTTCTATGCTGGCATTTCCTTGTTTTTTGTTTTTACTTTTAAATTTTGTTTTGGGGAAAGTTGCGAGGGCAGAGGGTGGAAGTTAGGGGACAGGGAGATGAATGGGAGCTGCATGCATGATGTGAAATTCACAAGGAATCAATAAAATGTTTAAAAAAAAAAACAAATGTTTTCCTAAAGTCATAAAATGGCAATTCAAAAAATATTGTATAAAAAAGGTTATTTTTAGTATTTTATTTAGTTTGTTCCTATCATTCTAAAAGATATCAATAAATATAACAAGGAACAATTTGTTTTGTATCTTTATTGATTCAAAATGAATATATCCTTTATAATTTAAAAAACAGCGAATAAGAGACAACAGTGGTCACAATTGCTTAAACTTTTTCAAGAGAGTAACTTTCAGAATAATCTATAAGCAATATTCCATTTTAATTTAACCTTACAATCACTTTTCATTCTATCACACTCACAAATAATTGTGCAAATAAATAAAAATGAATGGTGCATAGGAAGACTGCATAAAAACTATTGCACAACACATCAACAAGAGAGTAAAATATGGACCATAAAAACCTGTTAAAAATTGTAACATGTTTCAAACGTGTATTTCACCAACTTGGTTTTATCGTGATCTCTGGGCTCTGGAACTGAATGCTTTTGATCAGTTTATCTATTGGTAGTATGCATTTAACACTTGCTACTGTAGAAGTCAATAACAAACATCATCTCTTGGTAGTAATCTTTTAATACTTGCTACTGTAGAATTCAATGACAAACATGTCTGTTTATTTAAAACCGATTTATCTAGACATTCTTTAAGTAGAATAAAGGACTACATGAGTTAAAATACAATTAAAAGAAATAGTGCTCATTCCTAGATAAAGATGATTTGATGAATTAATATTCTTTATATATTTATAACCAATTAAACAAAAAGGAATTACTAAAATGAAAACCTAAATTATATTCTTAAATTAGCCTTGTAAATTCATTACAGCTTATTCAGAATGACTAGTTTTGAATTTGTTGAACAGTATGATCAAATAGAACATGGAGAAAATCTAATAAAGGAAGTATAAAGTGAATAAAATGATGACATTATCACACATTTAAAATCCCTACACAAATTAAAATAAAACAGAAAGCAAGAAGTAAATAAGTTTCAGAAATGAAATCATAAGCAATGAATTTCTACATCCATTCTTAATCTGAAACAATACACAAGGTTGGAAACACATCAACACAAAATATTACTGGTACCTTTATATGGTAAAGTTCAGACTGAACAGTCATTACTATAGGACTGTGGAATGCACTCTGCAAAAGCAGCCTGCCAGTAAGTGCTGTTCTAGTGAAAGTGAGGATGATCCAAACAACTGGAGTCAAGTGAAACAGAACTACATTGTAGCTGTGCTTGTGTACACCACTAATTTAAAACATTTCAGTGCATTTCCTCTGTAATATACATGGTATTTCAACAGTAAGCACTAAAGAAAATGTGAATAGAAAAAAACTAGACATTCTCCAATGTATTTGTAACTATATGAACCACGAGGAATTAAGAAAGAAATAGCTTGGCTTGCATGCTCAGAATTAATGAGTATCACAATTATTATTTATTGGGAAGGTTGATTTCTTTTAAGATGCATTAATTTCCTATAAACATACATACACAGAAATAAAATTTTTAAACATGTAAGATTTTACAAAAAATTATGTACCTTAAATAATTACATATTTAATACTGCAAAGACTGTAGTAGTAAACTAAAACTACTCTTCAAAGGAGTTATGTCAAAAGAAGGAAAACTAAAATCTCCACACACAATTGAAAGTGCAGAGAAAATGTGTCCAAATGAGATGAGGTAAATTAATCATTCAGTTATAAGCAGAGTAAAATACATTTATATGTTCAGTTATTTCTGAAAAGGAGATAGCATAATTACATGTTCACAGAATGAGGATTACATGTTTAATAATTTAATCAGGTTATGTAATTAGTAATCCATGAAGTTACTGGCAACATGGACCTCAGATTTTCCTTTTCATCATTGTTTAGAAATTTAGTACCAGTTGCAGAACAGTTCAGCTGGAAAAATGACCTAGCATCAATTGGTAATGACTAAACAAGATTCTCTTCAATAACAGAATCTCCAGCATCCCATTCTCCTATGGTGCTACTGGTGATAGACATCACTAACAGCATCTATTCTCAGTTCTTGTTCAGAGGTCTGATTATCCTAAAGCTTTAAGGCTCATCACTAGAGTGGGAGTGCTTGTGCAAGTATACTAATGTGTTTAAACAACTGAAGAGCAATACCTAAGACAATGATCTCATACCAACTTATTTTTGACATATACTTAAGTATTTCTTCAAATGGCACAGGCTGGAGGAAACAGATTTATTATATACAGAATATATATACATACATACATATATATATACACAAACACATTATACAGCCAAAGGATTATGTTCCAAAGACAAAGGGAAAGGGTGTGTAAATAGCTTTAGCACTGCATAGCTAAAAGAAGTGCCCTGGGTGTCAAAGCAGCAATAACTTTCAAATTCTGAGCCTGGCCCCATAGCTCTTGAGATTCTGTTCACAGAATCATTCTTCGAATGCCACATTCACAGCAGAACTTTGCCCATTCAACAGGGTATTTTGTCCCACACTCATGGCAGAATTTTGGTAAGTGAACAGATGAATGTCCCTCAATGCCTTTAATGTTTCCACCATTAATTGAAGATGTATAGTCTCCATCTGGCCTACAGAAGTAGAGAAAGAAGAGTAGGAATCAATTTCACTCACAGTAGTAGTTATTAACTAAAGAACAGGGAGTAATTAATACACAGAAACTAAAATCTTAATGTGAATTTTAATATTCCTCTAGTTCAAATTATAAAACAATCTCTGGGACATACATAATGGAACACCCCTGTAATTCCAGATGTGAGGAGGTAAAGGCACAAGGCTACAGACTGCTATGGACTTAAAACTCCAAGATGAAAATGAAGCAAATATCACCATCTTGTGGGTTTTAATACTCAGTAATCTCCCGTGACTATATGTATCCCAAGAGGAATACTTTGTACAATCACTAAAGTTATCTGCGTGGAGACACACACACTGTTAGATACTGAGAGTAAATTACAGTGCAGTATAACTCTTGCAAACCACAAATACAATATAAATGAATTAGGATGTGTATATAATATTAATACTTTCGAGGGAAAGTAACAAAGGAAAAATTACCAGCTTTCTTTCAGTGAAATATGTAAGAATTAATTCAAAATGTAAAAAAATCATTTACTCATCATGAACACCCATTAGTAAATATTTCATATAATACTAAAACTTCAACTTTACTAGGCATTACTAAATTCTGTACACAATTGCTCCAACTGGAACACACAAGTGTCTTCATTATCACATTTTCTAACAATGTATTGTGTTCACCTGATCAGTATAAAATGGTTACCTACAGAGTTTTAATATACACATATTTCTGTATGTGAGGCTGAATATCCTTTCACATTTCTCTGGAATTGGTGTTTTTTTCTATGGGCAATATGCTGCTCCTGTCCTCTCCTCTCACCATGTCCCAGAGTTAATAATTATGAGTTCACCCTTACTATTATAGTTGTAGAAGATCCCCATATATCACTGTCAGTCAGGAAAGTCCAACTCAGCGTGCATAGGCCTCATGTGGCCAAAGACAGTTATAAATTGGACTCAACACAAAATCATATGCTTATTTTAATATTACTTATTATTATAATTATTATATTATAATTATTATATTATAATTATTATAATATTATAAAATTTCATTTTTTTCAATTTCTGATAAGTCAACTGCAGTGATATAAAAAACAAACTTTGTAGATGATAACATAGTGTCACAATGTCAAAGTCTTGGACACATTTGGCTGCATATACAGTAACCTCCTCTTGCAATATGTTGTATGATTTCAATTTATCTTGTGCTTTTTTGTGTATTTATATCTTAATAATTTCTTGTCCATATGAATGCCATATTGAGTTCTACAATAAAGGAAAAACTAGGTCATACATAGCATATTACCTATGTGTATAAAATCTGACTGCATATATTAATTTTCACTCTAATTATTAGGTTAGCAAGCTAAACATACCTGGCAGCGTAACTGTCAGTAAAAGTTTTTCTTTTGTTGGTAAACACACCTGACACAGAATTTCTTGCCAAGCTTGGCGGTGTAGTATTTCGAGATTTGATGTTAGCTCTGGAAGACAGAAAGTGATAACATGATAAAAAAAAGTATTAAAATAAATGTTTCTTGATCTTTTTTTAATGTCAGTAGAAAAACAGTCCACAGAGAAGTCCAAAAGAATAAATTCCAAGAAGTATTTCTATTCTGAAAACAAGTAGTGTTAGTCAGTATTAACGATTCATTATATAACATTACCTTCATTAAATACAACACAGATCAAAATATTACTTATGCTTCATAGAAAATTTCATTTTAAAAGCCTATTTAAAAAGCCTCATTTATAATTGCTCACATCATGGACACTGTTTACTGTTTATGGACAACTCCTAAGCAAACATTAAACAAATATTACTGCTAGTCTAAGAATTCAGGATATGGTTAAAATAAATAATTTGCTAGCTACTTTAAATGATATATTCATTTTTATGAAAGTTCTTAGGATAACTAAAAATAAATATAGATTTAATTTCACGAACTGCACAGACTGAAACATCCGACATAAGTGAGACCTGTTACTTTGAATTCCCATTTTCAAACTTTAGATATTAACAGGGCAGGCTATGAGATTGTCATAAGTTTAGATTAAAATTTCACTGTTCCCAAACAACTTTGTAATGATAATAATGATAGTGATAACTTGAGTTTACTCATTGGTAAACTGATCATTCACATTACAAAAAGGCTTTAAGATAAAATTCATATAAATGCAACATGTTGATTACATTACATAGTACTATTGACACTGCCAGTACATGTTAATTTTAATGATTCACTTTTATTTTATGTACATGGGGGTTTGCGTGCATGTATGTCTGTGTAAGGGTGTCAGACCCCTGAAACTGGAGCTACAGGCAGTTGTGAGCTGCAATGCAGGTACTGGGAATTGAACCCAAGTCCTCTGGAAGAGCAGCCAGTGCACTTAACTGCTGAGCCATCTCTTCAGCCCAACATGTTCACTTTTGATAGTTACTTACGATATACTAAACATATTTGTTTTGCATAAATAAGTTTACTTCATTCTATAAATAATTTCATATTACAGATGAGTTAAAGGAGTCAAAAGGCCCTGGAATAACTTAACACAGGTGACTCTAGCAGTATGCTACAAAGTCAATACTCAAAGAGAGTCAACAATGCATCAGTCCCTCCTCTTCTTTAAGGACTAAGTGCACTTTTCAAAAAGCAGTTTTGTAATATAAATGAAAATTTCTTCAGCAGTTCCCAATCTTTGGCTGAAATTCTTCCTACTCCACTATGGTAAAGTTGGAAGCATCCCTAATTAGGTTGAATAACTACTATTATGCATGTAGTAACTATTCTCCAAATACTCGGTATACTAAAAATGAAGACGTCATTCCATTCCATTTCATGTTGACATTTTGTTTTTGAGATACTGCATAAATATATTGTGCCATATTCCTGGCTTAGAGAACCTGCGTTTACAGACTGTGTAAGCTGTAATGCTATTATGTGGTCAGATTAGTATTTAGTGGATAATACTACAGATCCTATATTCAATGCCCAATGTTAAAATTCAGAACAGCTGCTCTGAGTAGTTACTTCTCCAACAAGCAAATAAACACTTTGATGCATTGATAAGATACCCAAGACTTCTTCAAATGGTCCCCCAAGTCTATCTGTGAGGCTTATTCTATCTATTCTAGTTTTGTAAAGTAGAACTAGAATTGTGCCTTTCTAAGTTGATCTCTATATAAAGAAAATTGTCAAAGGGGGTTATTCAAATAGAAGCATAGTTTCTTTCCTTTTCTTTTTTTAAAAGCTCTACATATATTGCTAGGAATATTAATTATTACCTTCATATAATGTGTCTAAGGTACATAGCTAAAATTTCCTTGAATATCACCTATAAATGTAAAATATAAGATTATCAACCTAAATAGCTATGCTATTATCTGCCTATTGTTTTCTAATATCTTCTAAGAGATGAAATCTGACTGTCAAGAGCCATTCTGAAACAATTGGTCAATTATTAACATGCTCACATATTCAAAACATTTTCATTCTGGTCACAATCTGGTATTTACCCTAAGTTTATGCATGAACTTAATGTGCTATAGTTCAAACATATAAAAAGTAGATTAATTATGAAATTACACTTTGTCCTTTTCCTAAACCATTTCCCCTAATATTTGCACCAATTCAGGCTCAGAAGACAATGTCTTCCTTCTACAAATGATCATTAACTACTTAGAAGCAGCCATGCTATGTTAGAATATTTCCTGTAACTGTGTCATTGCATGCCTACTTGAATTTAGCACTATATTTCATGATGAATAAACAGGATACACTGTTAACCTCTCTACTATTTTTAAATTTTAACTCATTTAAATTTTAAAATTTAACTCAGATACTCATTTGTTACTTGGTAATTTTGTCACTGAAAAATGAGGACTAAATTTCATAGATACTGAAGCCCAGATCTGTGAATCCCAAAATTTCATGCTACTGTTTCAAGAGTGACTATGATTGCCAGTCTTCTTGGCCACCAGGGCAGAAGAGACAGGTCTCTAGTAGTTTCATTCTTCTTCTGGGTACTATGTGGAATTTATAAACAACTAAAAGAGGACTATGAACCATTTGGCTGCTTTCGTAGGATCTTTTTCCCTCTAACTATAGTTCATCATCTGCTTGACTATATAATTTGCTGTATACACTTATTTATAAGGCTACTTACTACTCCTAACATATCTAGAATTCACAAAAATAACTGTGTTGAAGGTGACTGCTACAATATCTTTTAAAATTAACATTAAATAGAATAAAAGGCATGATTATTGTTAAATTGAGTAGAAACCCTTAATAATAATAAAAAATATTTTATGGCTTGTGAGGCCATTTAGCACTTAAATGGCTTAAAATTACTTTTACATAGGTTAAAAAATACAGTATTCTATATTATAAAGCCTATAATAAATATCTGATAAAGACCAACCAAACTGCATTATAAATACTTACTTGTAAATGGGTAATAACTCATGTCTTTTGAAGGCACTGTCTGACTTTGTATCACTGTCATACAACCTTTTCACATGTCTTCCAGTTCGAAGTGGAGGGCCTAACTTGCCCATCTTACTATCAAAATATATAAAGGTGTACCCATAAGGAGATTGCTACTGAATGTTTGCCTCTAAAGAACTATGTAGACATAAGGATTATTTTCTTCAGAAAAAGACATTCTGCTTCACTAGAAATCACCCACTTCCCTTAACCGAATGCCAAGAGAAAAGTACATGTCACAGATTTCTGAGTTCATAAAGTGCCCATCAGTAGACCTGTAAGTGGTGACCATTTAGGCCACCCTGCCAGTTTCCACGAAGTTTCATTGCTACATTTATCCAGAGTGGGGAATGAATTAGGCAGTAACAGTTTGTGTGAAGCTAGAATTGAACTTTAAGCAGTTATTCACAAATAATTTTCATTTCCCCTGAAATGGAAGAGCCTTTCTTCTCTATTATTTTGCTTTATGATTTCTCTTGTATTTGAAAGATATAATTGCCTATGGAATGCTTATATATTTATCTTGTCTCATTTTCCAATAAGGAACGAGTTTATTTCTTAAATGTATATAGTGAAAAAGGCAAAATATGATCTATACTTTAAAAGATGTGATTGAACCCATTTTACATAGAGGGATGCTCTCTCAGCCTAGACACACAGAGGAGGGTCTAGGCCCTGTTCCAAATGACAGACTTTGAAGATCCCCCATGGAAAGCCTCACCCTCCCTGGGGAGCAGAAAGGGAATAGGATGGGAGTTGGTGAGGGGCAGGGTAGGAGGTGAGAGCGAGAGCGACGGAACTGGGATTAACATGTAAATGAAGCTTGTTTCTAATTTAAATAAAAAAGGAAAAATTAAAAAAAGATGTGATCATTCTAAGCATCACAGGTAAAACATTAAACAACCACACCATTGCGAAACCTTTTTAAACCTAAAGTTTAAAATATCTCCATCTAGCGGATACTAGTGCTAACTGCAGATTTGTAGGACACCTTGTTTTATATTAGCTATACATTCAATTCATAGATTATCACCAACTCATGGGAGAATAGGAAAACAGAGATTATCATCCACTCATGGGAGATAACAGGAAAATTAGCAAATTAGAAAAGTTATCTTAAATGATTGGTAAGAAACATGCCATCTCTAACATTAAATATATTCTTCTGCTACTCGTGGAGGTGCATGCCTTTAATTCCAGCACTCCAGATGCACAGGCAGGAGGATGACTGTGAGTCTGAGCTCAGCCTAGTCTTCATAGTGAGTTCTAAGCCAGCCAAAACTATACAGTGAGATTCTCTCTCTCTCTCTCTCTCTCTCTCTCTCTCTCTCTCTCTTCTCTCTCTCTCTCTCACACACACACACACACACACACACACACACACACACACACACACACACGAACGTATATATTCCTTAAAGAGATATCTGTTCTCACTTTTGTTTTTATTTTTCACTCATTTAACTCAGTAAGCCCTGAGGACATGGGAGGTTGTCAGACACTGCTAATCTGAGAGAACATAGTAGTAAACCAAAGAGCTGATGCTTGTTCTTAAATGATTGGTATCCAGGAGGTCTGTTCATCTTTCCAGAATGTAGGGTCTCTCAGGAGCAATAGAGTCATTTGATAGTTTCTGCGATGCATCAAAGTTGGTGGTAAATGCACGTAGCAGTATGTATGTTACAAACAACCTTCAGGAAATGTCTTAAACATAATTTCTACAAGTCCTGGAGATTAAGTTTATCTTTATATTTATAAGATTATAAAATAATCCAATGACTTCCAATTCTAATTGATAGTTTTTATGTTTCCAATTGAGAAATGTTAAAAATTATCAAAGCAATATTGTCAGACACTACCTTTAATAAGGCATCTGTGAGATATGATGGATAACATCTGTGTCAGAGAAACGGGTACTGATTTTAGATTTTAAGGAAACTTCATCTTAGCACACTAAGGCCCTTGATTTAACCCTCAGCACCACACACAAAACA